GTCTAAGCATGAGGGCATGTGTGAGTCTAAGCATGAGGGCATGTGTGTTTTCAAGGAGCGCAGATGGCCAGAAGAGGACAATTTAGGGATCAGTTAAGAGCTGAGTGTTAAGTAACTTGCCTATGTAATGGCATGACACCCAAGGAGACTGGACATAGCCAGAAAGTCAACAAGGGCATAGAAAAAGCACCCTGTTTCACTCATTTTTGAAGCTATTGTTGAAAATGTTTTGCTTTTATTTACTATTTACTTATTTCATCTGAGCCAGGGTCTTGCTTTGTTGCCCAGGATGGTCTTGAGTTCCTTCGCCAAAGTGATTCCTTTCCCTCAGTCTCTCTTGTGTTTAGATTATGGAGATATGCCACTATGCCTGGACTGAGATTCAAGTCCAATTTTAAGATTCCTTTTTAGTGATGTTTAGTTTTCAAAGACCTGCTGCTTGCAAACAGAACGATGGGGAGGGGTTTCAGCAGTGGTGGTTAGAGGCACTTGACATGTTGACGAACGACTGACTCCAACTGAGGGCTCACCAGCCTCTGAGCCTACTCATGGTCTGAACAGCCAGAGGTTAGGAATTACCCCTTCATTTGGGTTCAGACTGCTGAGGTATATCACCCCACTCACATTTAGGAACATAAAATGCAACCTGTCTGTAATGGGGGTCAACCAATGTCAAAACCAACTGGAAACAGGCTGGAGAAATAATTCTGGAAAATAACATTGGCTTAACCTAAGGCATCTAACATAAAGTCCAGGAAGCCTACAATAAACCCTTCCAGTTAATCCCTTCCCAGAGAATCTGTTATCCCAAAGTGCTGCAGAAGCCCAAAGACCTGAGCCCTTAATCTAAGACCAGCTGGGATACAGTCTCACAGACATGTCTGGAGGAAAGACGTAAAGTGTTCCAATTTGTAGGTCTGGGGGTTTTGCAAAGCTGTTCTTTTTTGTTTGTTTTTGTTTTTTTGAGACAAGGTTTCACTATTTATCCTTGGCTGGTCTGGGGTTCACTATGTAGACCAGGCTGGCCCCAACTCATAGAGATCCTCCTGCACCTGGGCTTCAAGGGTTAATTTTGCACCTGAAGTTTCTGCAACATTCATGCCTGAACAAAGCCAGGCTACAGCTTCTCAAAGTAAACACTACTGTCATTCAGAGGTAATTGCTACCATTTGTGACACATTAGAACTTACAGTGCACATACACACATCACTTCCTCAGAGTCTCATAATGGCCCCGATTCATGTCTTATTATGGCTGGTTTGCAGGTGAGGGGCTGAGGAAGTCAGCACAGCAGTTGAGCCATGCTAGTGTGTGCCCATGTGTGATAATTACACAGGCTGTCTGTAGGCACTCCATGGACTGCTCATGATGTGGGTGTGAGTGAATGTTTGTGTATACTTTCCCACTGCTACCAAGACCTTACGTGTACCCTTACTTTAATTCTACGAATTATCATAAACTAGTTGTTTACTGAGTGTCTACTAGGAACTGAACACTATTAGGTACCCTATATGCTGTTGGCAACCTACACATATATTATACATATATTTGTATATACAATACACACACACACACACACACACACACACACACACATGAGAAACTGGAAGCTTAGAGGCATGAGGGACTGTGCCCAAGGTCACAGACTAGGAAGTAGAAGAGTGAGGTTTTGCCTTCTAAAGCCCTGAAGTACACATAACTGTTCTAGCTGCTCCTAAAAGGTACATTTGCGCCTACTGGTGTGTTCAAATTCCTCCTAAAAAGTTGGGCCTCGGAGATTTTAGTCCATTTTGCTGTTTTCAGTTAAATTTCCTATTGCAAGTCTTATTTGAGGTGATCCTTGGAGCAGATTTGTGTGTTTTCCTTCCCCCGCCTGCTTGGTGTCCAGTCCATGTTCTCCCAGGGCTCTTTCCCCTCCAACGGAAGCAGCTTTTGCCCTCTGCTTTCCCACCAAATAACACACATCCTCCCCACCCCATCCATGACAGTTTCCCCACAGTCCCATTTCATGTGTGCCCTGGCTGTGTGCTATATGGCTGTGTGCCTTGGCTGTGTGCCCTGGCTGTGTGCTCTAGCTGTGTGCCCTGGTTGTGTGCTGTATAGCTGTGTGCTGTATGGCTGTGTCCTCTATGGCTGTGTGCTGTACGGCTTCCTGGGCTGCACGCCATCACTCTGTTGTCTAATTGCTTGTTTTTGTATTTTATTCTATGACTAGACTTCAGACCCCACAACGGAAGACGGCTACGTGCATCGTTCTGCCCTGGCACAGTCCCAGGCCCATTTCAATGCATCCGCGCACATGCTCAATACACTCTTGAAAAAATAACCAAGAGTTAACTATCTTTAAGCCCGGCCTTCCGGGGCCATCTGGTTCACAGGCAGGAGCCCACTTCCCCAAAGGAATTCCTACGTCTATATAAAGAAACAGCTCCAAGAGAACATTTTTATTTTTAGAAAATCATTACATACAATATGGTCATGTGTAGTTCAATGACAGAGAGGTCTGAGAAACATGTAGCTTGGCAAATTCAACACTGCGCAAACACCGTAGAGTATACTAATTCACATTGCTGGATGGTACTGTCTATCTCACAGTAGGCTGTGTGGCCTAGCCTGTTGCTTTTAGAATACACATCTGCACAACATATTACTGAGCTGCATGCTGAAGACAACTATATCTTGTTAGTAATTGTGCAAATAAATGACCAGTACCTCCATGGCTTGCTGATTCAGAAAGGCCTTGGCCACCTTCTTGTGAACTGAGAGTTACCTGCTTGAGGTGTTCGCTGAGGGCAATCCGCAGGCTGCCGTTCCTCCGGTTGAGCATCTCACAGGTCATGAGGGTGTAGAAGATTGCTGTGCACACCAAGGGCATGCAGAAGTAGAACCCAAAGAGCCACCAGTCCTTCACATCTTGGTAAAACTGTCCAGGGAGAAAGAGGGAAGATGGGACGTTGGAATGAAAGCTAACTGAGAAGCAGCCGGCTCACCCCACAGTCTCCGTGCTATGGACACGGTTTATCTATCCACCCGTCCCCACTTCAACAGCAGTGAAGACCCTGCGGCAGTGCTCAGTATTTTTTCATTTGATCACTGAATCAGACCTAGCTAGGGCTTCACACACACTAGGCAACCGATGCGCTGCAGAGCTGTAACATGAAAAAATGCACATGAAAATGGTCTAATTATCTCTACGAGGATATTTCCAAGAAGCCAACACCGATTTCTGCTACACAATGGATTAGTACAAAAAGCCTCCTCTTAAAGTTCATACAATGGGATTGGAAAAATTTTTATCCTTGTTTATTGATGAGCCTCAACATTTTGATAAGGTTGGCTCGCTTTTTGATTGTTGTGTTTAAAGTGTACGTACTGTGTGTGGCTCATTTAGAAACAGTGAAAGCTATCAATGAATGGCTTATCTGTGTAGCTGCAGTTGGTGGAAGTTAACCCTTTGCCTGGTATGTCTGCTATGTGACCCCAGAGTCAGCTAGCTCAGCCATCAATAACTCCTCTCTCTCTCTTAATACTTGCCACCTGGAAACTACTGAGGGGGGTACATTCTAGCTAAAGGCTGACTTCACACACTCTCTCTGTGGGCAAGGATTTATACAAATTCAGAATGTCCAGTCTCCTGTCTTTTTAATGGAGAATAAAAATCAAAGTTGGAGAACCATACTCAACTCTTTATTCTAATGACTTTATCTCAAACTTGGGAAGACATGCTTCTTACTTCCTTAGCTCTTTCTCCAGATTATTTATGGAGGATAACATGGCTTCTTGTGATTGTTCGATCAGTTTCCACAGATATAGCCACCCTATTCCCTGAATACTGACAGCTTCTGTATGGAAAGGAGCCCTTTATGGCTGTTTAAGTAATCTGAAAAGCGTTCCAGAAGACAAGGTTCAGGTAAGGCTCTGTAACTATCACAGACCCCCTTGGAAATCAGGTGAGAGTGAGAATTCCTTCTGAGAACAATATTTTGTGTGTTTATGCATGTTCATGTGCATGTGTGTACATATGTGTTCGTGCACGTTCATGTATTTGTGTGCATGTGTGTGTGCATGTATGTGTGCATGTGTGAGTATGTGTAGGACAGAACAACCTTAGGTATCTTTCTTCAGGAGCAGTTTACCTTCTCTTCTTGAGACAGAGTCTCACATGGGGACCTAGGGCTGGCCAGTTTGGCTAGGTGATCCTGTGAAAGCCTGTGGCTTTGCCAGTCCCCATCCTCTCCAGCACTGGTTTTTAGAAGCCTGTGCTACTGTGACCAGCTTCTTACATGGATTCTGGGGACTGAAGGTTATTACTTTATTACTTTATCAACTGAACTAACTTTCAAAACCTTACCATTATATTTTAATAAGCACAAATTTAAATATATGTGGCCACAATGGAAACCAATTACACTGTAATGGAGCTATCAAAATACTGAAAATAAAATTCTGATAAAGATATGTATTCATCAACAAATTATATATTATATAGTTCTAATTAAATAATATAAGGGCTCAAAAAAACCTACCAAGATGTTGAACATTAATGTTTTAAGATTGTCCATGTATGTTTTTCTCTCCAGAAAAGCCATGATACCCTTAAACAATATAGTGGATTTTTATCTATATTTAAAGTCAGAGGAAATAATACACTTCAGAGGGAATTTAGTGAAAACAAACACATTTTCCTGGATTAAGTACAAACTCCCAAAGGAATTGGTTTCCTCCTATTTGCTAACAGATCTTTCCTAGCTCACCCCACTGCAGAAGGATCTCTGACTGGACCGTAAAAAGCATCTGCCATTTGTCCTTGTTTGGAAGTATAGTACAAACATCCTCTGAGGCTCTCTCAACCCCCTCTACTCCCTCACCCACCCAGTGTTTGCAGCCTCTTCCCACAGAATTGCAGGCTGAATGGATGTGGCCCACCAGGAAATGGCCTGGGGTCTGGAAGGCGACCCAGCTAGGCCAGGATGGAGTACCCCACCCCCTCCTCCATGAGAGAGGCCTACTGTGAAAGGGGCTACGCAGTTTCATTTTTGAACTGATGTCATCATCTAGTGGTTGGAAAGGTTCTTGGGACAGGCTAGAGGAGAACAAAGATGAAGGAGCATGAAAGAAGATAGAAAGTCACGTTAGAAAAGACGTGTATTCTAGACGTGGAATGAACCTGAAATCTCCCCAGTTTGACTCATACCTTTGATTCCCACCGGAGGCCAACCTCCTATCACCTGACCTCCCTCTTCTCAAACCCTTACACAGGAACCTCAGACGTTGTGACACTACCTGTTTGATTTTTGTCTATTTCCAGGGATCAGTAAGTGCCTTCTTATAGGACCGTCTGTCCTCTAATGCTTTTCTCTGCAAAGCCTAGAATTCGTGTCTGCCCTTCCCAATTCCATCCCCTAAGCATGGGCTAAGTCATCCTTCTGTCTGGTTTTTCATTGAGGATCTACTTAAAAGGCAATAAGAAAATGACTTCAATTTTGAGGTTGCCAGTTTTCCAGTTTTCTAGAGTTCTATTTATTTGTTTGTCTGTTTGTTTAGTGTTAAGGGATGCAGTGTTGATGTGCTCCTGGGTATCAGCCTTGGAGTCTGTTCACATTCCTATCAGCCCCACAAACGCCGCTGCATACGTGCAGTGAGCAAGCCCAGCTCCTAGGAAACACTGCTGCATACATGCAG